ACCATTGGCTTCAGTCGTTCACACAGTACGCTGGATAGCATACCAAGTTCCTTATTTTTTTGTTTATATGTTTGAACTTCGAAGTTTACAGATATAGTTTACAATTGGATGACAAATAAAACGGTATGTAGATTAAAACTTTTTGCCGGGTTAACCTACTGTATGAGGATTTATTTGGCATATAGGCAATGGAATTGGCAATTTAAACCACAACCGGTACAATGTAAATGTACTATAAATTTACACGAACATAAGATTTCGAATTGTGAAATTGTTAGAAAATCGTTAGAGTGATATTTCTAATGAGTTGAGAATGTATATTTAACGATATACCTAAAAGTAAATCAAATCTTAGGTAAAAGGCGATCAGGGCGCGTTTAGCATATTACCACCACATGTATTTTGTTTCTTTTTTTTTTCATTTCCACAAAATTGAATGCGTAAATTCACACAAAAAACCAACAACATCAACAAAAACTGATACCTAATATTATTATTTGTTGGATTTTATTTTTTTCTACATTGTTGTGGTAGTAAATGCTGCTGATGGTGTTGTTTTTGTTGTTAGGCGAAAATTCTACAATAACTAAAAAAACACAACAAACGGAAGCAATTCGAAGAACATGACAGAATTCAATTACGATAATAATAGATAATATGTGAGAGCGAGCAAACATTTGCAAATAGATTTGCATGTTGTTGTCGTCTTGTTTCTATGGGGAAAGTAAATATCATAAATAGATGAGTATAATTTTCATTTAAAGAAATTAAAATAATAAATTCGAAATGTATATACATTTTTTAAATAAGTTATAAATGTTTACATATTTGTTCTGTTCCAAAAAATCTGCAGGGTTTTTCTGTTCAATATGCCGTAAAAACTAAATCACTAAACCCTGTTTTCTTTCATTTTAGGAAATTGTCAATAATGTAATTTGTTTGTATTGTGTTTAGTATTGGCTTTAATTTAGTATTTATATATTATATTAATATTAACTTAAGTTTCGGGGTAGATCCCATATAATGGTTCCCCCACAATATTTCTGTATATTGGGGATTTTGAGCACGTTTTTCAACAAAATTGGCAATAGTGAGATTTTTCGGTTTTCACATGATTCATATCTTCCTACCAAAAAATTAGCATGACATAGCCTCCGTATAAAAGACCCGACCTATTTTATGTATTTTAAGTGTTGGTGGCTACAAATGTATGGGGGATTCCTCTTTGAAATCTTTTTACTAAAAAAAATTTGGTCAAGTAGAATTGCCAACAAATGTTTTGACATTTTTATAATTTACACTATAGTATATACCCTCCATTTCCCACACTAAAAAAGGATAACAATTCTAAAACGATCAAGTAATGTCCGTCCGTCTGTTGTAATTAAGTTATCTTTCGAAGGAATTGATATAGGATGCTGAAATTTTGCATAGAGGTGGCTTTTTGTCCGTAAGCAGGTCATAATGTGCTATATACACTGGTGGTCAAAGCAACTAAAATTACAAAGATAAACAATGCCGCATAACTTTTTTCAAAAGTAAACATCGTTTTGATTTTTTCAGTTTTAAAACGGGCATTTCACTTCACTTTTAAATGGGCAAAAGCATTAATCCAAAATTCAACAGATGAGCTCTAAAATTGTACTTATTTTTACTGTTATAATTACTATATTTTGGTTTCTACACCTATTTCGATTCTTATAGATCATTTTTAATACAATATCATTTAACTGGTTTTCATTTTTGACTTACTCTCAAAAAAAAAAAAAAAAAAAATAATAATAATAAGGCATGGAATCAAATACAGTACACAGATAAAAAAGCTAATTAGCAGTGATTGTGAAAATAATTTGTAACAAAAACTTATTGTGGAGCACAAATTATAAGTTGATTTTATGCAACTATATCAGTGGTGACAGTTCAGCACGGAGGAAGGCTACAAAAGAACATTAGTTCGTACTGATCAACATGTTGTCAATGCATTGAAAAATTAACCATTTAAGAGAATTACCCATCGGAATTGGTGATAGGATTATCGTGGGATATAACCTCAAGAACATAGCCTGGGCGAGCTATGGTAGCAGGTCTACATGCCCGGAAACCATCAAGAAAGCCCTTTAACTTCTGAAAAGAATCGGAAACCCAGATTGGCTTTCGCAAAAGTTCATATTTATTGGAATCTGACTCAGTGGGGAAATGCTATATCCTCGGATGATTTAAATTCTAATATAAATGGCTCAGACAAGAAAAAAATTACCTTGAGAAGGTCAAAAAAGCATGGAAGCATCGAGGTGGGAATTCGATCTATTTACGAGAAATATGAAATATAGATGGGGTTATTTATAGAAATGTGTTGGATAACGCTTTGGTACGCTGAAGAAAATATACCACATACAGAAAAATATATCAAAGATTGTTTGTGGGAGTCAAAAAGTTTTATAAAGGTCAATACAATTATGAGACTTTTATCCTATGTATAAATCTTTGGAGTATCATAAATAGCCAAATAAAAAAAGAATCTTACCAACAAACAAACATAACCTCTTCCCAAAAGTTCAGGAGTATACCCAAAGATGAAATTGAGAATTTTGTTGATTCAATGCTTCGTAAGTGTGCTGCCGTAATAAAAAAATGGCTATGCTGTTAATTACTACCAAAATTGGTTTATTTATAAGAAAAAATCAAAAAGTTGCCTTCGCTTTGACCATGCAAAAATTGGGTCAATTTAGTTTCCATAGAATATTCCTTACTTCAAAATAAATTTTACGTTCATATTTTTTGTTTTTAAAAGTGAATAAATTACCTATTCACCTATTCAGTTTGGAATTTCATTTGCGTTAGTTTTGGCCACCAGTGTACTATCTGTCAACCAATAAGAACACAAAAAATATTAGAGTGATAATCTTGTGAGCTCCCTTTTCTGTCAAAATAATTTATTTATGAAAAATACAATAAACAAACATATTTTCAAATGTGATTAAAATGCAACATTAAAGCATTGATAAAATATATTAAGAATATTTACTTCCCAATTACCAATCACAGTCAATTCTGTTTGAAAAAACATGCCCAGACTCTCACAAAATACCGAAATTTGGGAAGTACTGTTGTATGGGGTCTATTATTATAAAAAGTAGATGAATATTTTCTTCCCAAATTAGAACACCAAACTAGAACCAATTCTATTGAAAAAAGTGTCCAAACTCCTCAAAACACTGAATTTTGAGAGGAACTGTGATATGGAGTCTACCCAACAAATCGATTATTTGTGTTCATTTTAAGTAGGATTTCGATTTAATGCAAACGGAGTGACAAATTTTACATGTTCGGTATCCCATGTAGTGACCAATTTGGACGTTCCCTTGTCGGTCGTTGTATGCGATTTTTTATATAGAAACTTATTTTATTTTTTAGCAAATAAACAACAAGAAATATTTCTTATCAAAGTGATAAAAATAAAACTACCAAATTCTGCTATTTTCAATGAGATATAAATCAGATATCAAAACATACATTAAAGGTATTAGATATCACAATTTTTTTGAATAAATATAGCATTATCTAGGTATGGAATAAAAAAATACACTTTCCTACATGTTTTACCTTTTTTGTTAAGTAAAAATTATTCTCTTTTGTCAAACTTTTTTAGAATATTTCTTTTGTACTATTTATTGGATTTGTTGTATTGTTTCTTATTTTAATTGTGGTTTCAGTTTTTTTTTTATTTTTAATTCAAAATCATATTTGGTTAAGGGTGATTAATTTCACAGTCATTAGTGTGCATTGAATAAATAAATTTTTGGAATTGTAACTTACGTCGATGCCAAGCTAGCATACCATATCGGCATGTAAAAACGATAACACCACATACATAATGTCACATATGGACAATATCAGTATTCCATTGTGTAGAGATTATTTTGTTTCTCATTTTTTTATTAAAAATAATGAATCAAAGACCAAAATTATTTTTTATAACGCATTATTTCCAGAATATTGATATCATCACACAAAGACAAAACCAGGGCCGCGAAATACGATTGAATAGAAAAAGAATATATCTCGGACTCGGTTCAAAGCATGCCCAAAATTCCGAAATTTGGCAGGCACCATTATATGGGGGCTACCCCAAGCAGTGGGCTTTTGTATGGAAGATTTCTTCACGCTAAGAAAATTTAAATTACACCAAATTCGGAGGAAGAATGTGCCCTAATTTTGGATTTTTGGGGGTACTTAAGGTATGATTGCCGATCACTGGAGCATCCGTACTTTAAAATGCCAACGCAATTAGAAAGAATACATATCTGACTCTGGTATGAACTAGGATTATTGACTTTTCCAGAAAATTAGCAAAATGGCGGAGCTAGAAAAATATATATTTTTTAAATCGACTATTTTCGATCAAAAACTAAGCTGGAAAATAGGGAACAATTTTACCGATTGAATTGCTACGCCATAAAGAAGCCACCATGTTAAATTAATTTATTGTTATATGGGATATATATACTAAAACGTGGATCGATATAGCTCTTTTTCAATACCAAACATTAGATGTACATGGCCAATTCTACAGAATTGTTTGTCTTCTAATCAAGAATCTATTTATATTTGAATATTAATTAAATAAACTTCTCAATTGTAATAATAACATTTTTCTTTTTATTTTTCTTACAGATACCACTTCCAAGACTTGAAACTGCTTCAACGTTAGCAATAAGCGATATATCATTTACTTAATATCTGTATAATTTTTTATACAAACGAACAAAAATTAAAAAATAACATCGTATTCCATCCAATGTAAACTTCAATAAAAATCGGAAATTATTTCATATATGCTATGAAGAAATAAAACACCCGTTCCATTACACACCGATTTAAGAAAACAAAATAAAACAAAAACGAACAAGGGAAACCATTTTTTTATATCAGAACAGAACAAAACCCATTTTACTGCACACGTCGTGATTAGAAGAAGAAGAAGAAAAAAACTGAAAACTTGGTGGTCCATCATGATGGCTTGTTGCAATGCTTGAACGTTTTCGCCTTAGTAATTTAAGTCGACATTACCGTTTACGAACTACAGAACTGGCTCGAGACAAGAAACAAAGACAACAATGTGTTACCGTGCTTTTTCTCGATGACACAACGCACACCTTTCGGATAGAGGTATGTATTTGTACATTTTTATTTTTCTAATACGTATAATTAAAAGAAACTCCTTCCGAAATATTAGATAATATATTATTTTAAAAAAATATAACAAGATTAAATTTTAATGTTACATTTGTTTTGTCGTCGCATACTTCCCTATTATACACAGATTTTTTTCTAACGTTTACATTTAGCTGTTATTTGACATTTTTCGTTTTGTAAGTGATTATATCGTCTATGTTTGCAGGTTTTGGATGCATTTAGTTAAATGACTTTGTGTTAGTTTGGCCTTTATATAATGGTACTTCTCAATGCTTTCTCCTGGTGAAAATTCAATAATATAGTAGGACGTTTAAATTTTCAAACATATAATGCATTCATGTTTTTTTTCTTTATTGTTCATACATTAATAACACTCGCATAATATTAACTTAACACGCACTATTCGCTTCCATTTACCATTTGATCAGAGTGTGTACAATGATTTTAAAATTGCCAAAGTAAATTTAACAATTTCTTCTATGAAAAGAAAATCCATTCAAAATGCGTAAATGAAGAAAAGTTTTGGCATATACAATATTTTCTTATTTAACAGATATAAAAACTTCATGGCTTGTTATTGTCCTCTGATACTTAATTATAAAAACAAGTACCAAAAACAAAAACATAATAAATGAGTATTTGTGAACAATTTTTACAGTTTTGTAACAATTTTTATTCGATTTACAAATGACATTCCGCCTATTTTATAATACGACGCGAACGGACAATCCGAGTTGAACTTAACTTTACACAACCTAATATTCTAACCATGACTTTATAATGTTAAAAGAAGGGACTTACGGGACATTCAACTTTGCATACATTTATTTGAAGACATAAAGTCTTATATTTATTAGGTTTAAAGGGAACTTCAAAATATTTATAAATATGAATTATTTAGCAATTTTTGGCACTGAACAAATAATATGCGTAAATTTTGAAAGAAGATATTTTCATTTAAATTTTGAAAACTGAATACTGTCAAAGGTAAATTTATGAAAAAAATTCGAAACATATGACTGCATGAGACTATCTTGTATAATTATGCCATGACCAAAACCTTAGCTAATAATTCAAAATCCAGCTAGGGTTTTTCTTCTACCATCATAAACTTTCAAATTTTGGCGTTCCTGATTGGAAGGCGGTCATTTTGACCGTTTTTCAATTTCAAGTAAAAAAACAACTGTAAATATAATGGCACAGCTTTTTAAAATTTGGTGACTTTTTGTACCACATAGAATTACGTTTATTAATCATAGTAGCTGCTTTCCCTCTCTTTCATTTCCCGTATTCATATGTGCTATATCTATATTGCCTAAAAACGGTCATTTTGACCGCTTTAATCCTAGAGTGAAATTTGAAAGACAGCATAGAATCAAAAGAAAATTGTGACCAACAAACATCACATACAACTTATTTTCGCTACTGTAAAACTTCCCAATTACGGCTTTATCAAAGTAACAAATCTCATAATATATGTGACACATGCCAAAAGCATGTTTGCGGAAGTTGCACACATAAAAAGATTTCCACTTACATTCGCTCAAATGTAAAAATAATGCTTAATTTTTTCACTTGAATTTTTTTTATTGATTTTTAATACTTACTAATAAAAATATACATTACTATAAATAATATAAGAAATAATAAAATTTAATTTGAAGTGATTCATTACACATTATTAATCCTTTTACAAAGGGGTCATTTTGACCGATTTAGGTCAATATACGTATATGTATACAAAACTTCAATAATATAGGGTAGCGTTTTATGGGAACAATCCCGAAACTTGGGGCAATATTATAATTTTTTGAGTAATGAGCTTTTCTACCCAATGAAATGAATAAAATTAAAATATAAAAATGCAGCTAATTTGGAGAATATAGTAGAATATGGTTTCAACAAGATGGTGTCATGACATCACCGTGGCGACATCAGCTGGCCACCAAGATTATGCGCTTTGACACCATTAGATTTTTTTCTTGACCTACGCGAAAGACCCTGTTTATGCTGAAAACCTTCAACTCTTGTGTTAAAAGTTTTCCAAAATAACCTCAAAGGTATAATGATGTAGTGTTTCACAATTCAAGTATAATACAAATAACGAACAAATATATTTTATGTGTTTTATTTACGTTTACTTTTGAAATCAAGAAATCGGTAACCCTGCTCAGTTCGCTACAGACCTATTTAAAAAATCAAGGTCTACAATATTTAGAACCTCAACCGGACAGGAGTGCATCTCCATTGTAATTCGTAATTTTAGTACCACTTCGGACTGAAATTGATACACAAAATGTTTTCCCATTCTATATTTTATTTATAGCGGCAAAGCCAATAAGGCCAATAAATGTAGCAATGTGCAAACAGCTACAAACATCTTCAAACTATATAATTCAATCTTAATATAAGGACTTTAAGTAACCGATTACAAAGCAAAGTCCGAACTAGTTAAGAAAAGTTGTGTGACGTGGAGGTTACAACTGTGTTGTAATGCGTTTCAAAATTCGCTCAAATTATTAACGAATAAAAAACAGTTACCTGTACATCTTTATAAAAACAATAGCACACTAGTATATATTAAAGTACTTGATTTTAAGAAATTATTCACGGTATACTTGATATATGTTCATAAAAACTAATATAATTTAGATAAATTACAATTACTATATTAACTCAATCTAATATAAGCATATTATATTTTATATATTTCAGAAACGCGCCAAAGGCGGTGATTTACTTGAACAAGTATTTCAGTTTCTCGAACTATCCGAAAGGGACTATTTTGGCTTATTATTTCCTTCAAAACCTGGAGATGTTGTGGTAAGTTCTAATATTAATAATTTCTCGACATTCGTGCACAGAGTTTTTATTAAAAGCACACATATTTAATATATTTCTTTTAGCGGTGGGTTGATGCCCAGAAGCCGTTTAAAAAACAATGCAATAGTATTGCATTGGATAATGACGCCGTACCACTGCTAGAATTTAGGGTTAAGGTAAATTCATATATTATTAATGTGTTTCTTCTTCAAATATTTACTCAATAATCCATCTGCTCTTATTCTAGTTTTATGTAAGTGATCCCAGTCGTTTACAAGAAGAATATACACGCTATCAATTTTATTTGCAAATAAAACGTAACATATTATTGGGCAAATTGCCATGTTCACTAAACACACAATGTCTATTGGCAAGTTATACAGTGCAATGTGAGTATTTTGTTTTTAATAAAATATGGCATATTGAAATTAAAATAACGCATGATTATTTTGTTCAGCTGAACTGGGTGATTTCAATCCCTCGGAACATCAGGCTGGTTACTTGAGTAATATGCAATTATTAATGGATCAAACTCCAGATGCGGAACGTAAAATATCGGAATTGCATAAATTGCATCGCGGCCAGTTACCCGCCGATGCTGAATATAATTATTTGGAACATGCAAAACGACTTGATTTATATGGAATTGATTTACACAAAGCGATGGTATGTGATTATTTATATTAAATATTATTTATTTTTCATATTAATTTCAATGGATTTTTATTTCTTAGGATTCAAATGGCAAGGAATTACAATTGGGTGTATCCGCCATAGGTTTATTGGTGTTTCAAAATGGCCTGCGTATAAATACGTTTTCTTGGTCGAAAATGGTTAAGGTTTCATTCAAGCGCAAAGATTTCTTTATACAATTACGTCGAGAACCGGTATGTAACCACGATAGGATAAAAATTCCTTCACATATATCAAATAATAAATGTTTTTTGTTTTGTATTGAATAGTCCGAAAGTTATGACACTTTATTAGGCTTTACTATGTCATCACACAAACATGCTAAATCCTTGTGGAAATCTTGTGTTGAACATCATTCATTCTTCCGACTGAAACGACCACATCGTTTATCACGTTTTCTTAATTTGAGCTTGGGATCAAAGTAAGTTTTGAAACTATAGCCGATAAATTAAAACAAGTGCGGCCTTACTAACTAAAATCTACATTTCAGATTCTATTACTCTGGACGCACCGAATTGCAAGCTGTACAAGAATCAAAACAACGTGCAAAAATACACAAGGCTTTTGTTCGTTCTCCAAGCAAACGGCTAATTGCTATTGGGCCAGGTGGCACTACAATGTCACCGCTAGCAAATGGAGCCAGCGGCTCCGATAGTAATGGCAGTGTTTCTCACAATGGTAAACCTCCGTCCGCTAATGCTGCCACACATACGTCCATTTTAACCATAACAAAAACTAGCCGTCCCCACCATGACAATAAGGTTACATCGAAGCAATTGGATACAATGCCCCGCAAAGCTTGGGAACAACAAAGTGATGAATATGATATCCAACTGTAAGGAGTGCATTCGACTTTTCTATTGTATTTTTTATAACAGCACGATTTTTATACTTTTACAGTGATACTGGCTATATTGACCAATGTGGTCGTCGTTTTGAATCTCCAGTACCAGCATATAGTACGGGATCTCACAGTCCAAATGGCACTCAATTGGGTGCAGCCATGAACACCTACATGAATGGTTGTTCGACAGCCCCCGAGAGTGGTAGTGATTTGATAACCATACGTTTGTTGGCTGATGAACATGGTCGTTTTGGTTTTAATGTCAAGGGTGGCATCGATTTGGGTTTGCCGGTTCAGGTGTCAAAAGTTGTGCCCAATACCCCGGCTGATCGTTGTACACCGAGGGTTTGTGAGGGAGACGAAGTTGTCCTCATAAATGGCCGTGAAGTTGCCGGACTGAAACACGAACAAGTTGTCAATATGATAAAAGATTGCCGCAATACACGTACCGGTGAGTTGCTGCTCACTATGCGACCCTGCTCAATGGGGCCTCCACTGACCGAAGAAGAAGAACCCCTATACCAATATGTACCGGAAACCGATGAGATTGGTTCCCATTCAAATCTCCTGGATGGCGATGCTCTCTTCACACAAAGTTTATTGTTACTTAGCGATGGTTTGGCATCGGGTGCCCTACTGGCACAATACGAATTGATGTACCGTAAAAATCCCGATTTGGCCATAACGGAAGCAAGAAAACCCGAAAACGTAGCGAAAAATCGTTATCGTGACATATCACCATACGACTGTACTCGTGTTACGTTGGTCAATTGTTCGAGTGGCGATTATATAAATGCCAACTATGTAAATATGGAAATTCCAGGTGGCATAAATCGTTATATTGCCACCCAAGGTCCACTGGCCTCAACGACTACGGATTTCTGGCGAATGGTACAGCAGGAAAGCAGCCATTTGGTTGTGATGCTAACAACGGTAATGGAAGCTGGCAGACAAAAATGCCATCAATATTGGCCAGTAACGGGCGATGAACTGCAATTGGGCGAAGGTTTGTGCGTTAAATGTCTCAGTGAGAAGCCCGACGAGACGGGAAGTTTTGTATTTCGCGAGTTTCTGTTGTGTGACAGGCGAACGGGTGAACAGCGCCATATACAACATATGCAATATCTTGCCTGGCCCGATCATTGTGTACCCTCGGATCCGAATCTTTTTTTGGAATTTGTGGAACGTGTTCGAAATGCCCGCAATCGGTCATTGTTGCAGGAAATCGAAGAAAGTTTAAAACAGGTTAGACTGCTCGATGCTGATGCCGATGAAAATGGTGGTATTATGGGAGAACGTAAATGTGCTGCCAGTAATGGTGTAACTCCCGAAGATGAGACGCCGGTATCAACCAGTGTTCATCAGTAAGTATTTTTTATTATTTTAGTTATTTAATACCTAGTATCATAAAATGAAAAACTCGCAAATTGTTGTTCATCCGAGGCTCCATAAAATGTTTAGGTTTAGTCGTGCCCGCTATTCGTAAAAAAACCGTTTCAAGTTTCACAAGCACTTTTGCCGTAGCTTTATGCTGACACAATAAATCGACTACGTCTTTAAGAATTGTTGAGATTTTCAATTGAAATTTTAAAGTGTTTTTTGAAACCGAGAATGGGGGATCCCCTTAAGACTGAACTTTAAAATGTGCAGCCCGATTGGACGGCGATCAACGCCGTCTTTCTTTCATGCATCTAATATTGTCATTTTTCGTTCATTGCAGATGTATTAGTGCTGCTAATCCACCTGTTATAGTTCATTGTTCGGCTGGTATTGGGCGAACAGGTGTTTTAATACTAATGGATACAGCATTAGCATTAATGGAGGCACGCGAACCAGTATATCCGTTGGATATTGTGCGTACAATGCGTGATCAAAGAGCCTGTATGGTGCAAAATGTGGTAAGTAATCAATACTTGGCCTTTTTTCTTATACCCATTTTCGGCAATATTTACGAATTGTTTCTCTCCTATTTCATATATAAATTTATATATTACTCATTTACTCCTATTTTAGAGCCAATATCGCTTTGTATGTGAATGTATCTGTGCAGCCTATATGAAAATGTCTCGAAATAGTGCTTTATTATCTCAAGAAGATGATGATGATGACATTGGTGGTGAATAGACTAATATTTTTTGTGACTTTTGTGGTAATAATGCACGTGCCTCTTTATTGAAAAAAACACACATACAAAATTATATACATAAATACCCACATATGTATAGCAGAGAAACGTGTACAATAACACAGAACCAACCGTGGAAATAATAACATATATTTTTATATACAACTTACAATTAAACTGATACTATATATATACACACACTTTAATTATAAAAGAGATTAAAAAAAAACTATTGTATACGCCTCAAATATAACCTTTACACCCTAAATTTCGATTTTGTTCTCTAATGACCATCACATTATAAATGCATCAATGCTTGAGTTGATAAAATGCAAAGAAATATATTTTATGTATTATGTTCTAATAATATAAGTTTGTTTGATAATAAATCAACCCTTGAAATGCATTTAAGATGTCTACAAAATAAACAATTGTTCTTGTTCATTAGTAACATTTTTAATTTGTCAACTTATACAAAAAAAACTACATTAAAATTTAAATTGAAATTCAATATCAAATTCCTCTTCCGTGTTTTCTTCCTTAAATATAAAGATATACATATGTATATTATTTTTAAGTGTATTATTGTGTATTTTATTATATTTTTATATATACTCATCATTAAGATGAAATACAAAAACAATTTGTCCATATTAATGAAAATGTCTAACAAAATTCCGAACCAAGATGTTTTCTTGTTTTTTTTTTTCTAGTTTACTAAAAATTTAATTACATTACATATACACAAGATAAACAATTAGTATTCTAGCACCAAAAATAATTTTTATGCTATAATATATAACACATACATTTAAAACAATGAAATACATATTTATTATTCTAAGAATTACTTTTATAATGTAGTTTGTGTCCAATAGAAAGTTATAAGAAAATTATTTATAAGAAAATCTAATAAAACAAAAATTCAATATTTAGACACCCAAAATAAATTTGGTTTTATTTCTGTAAAGTAGATATGTTTGTAATTAAAATCTATCATTAAATTGATCTTAAACTTAGCTGGTGTTTTAAGTTAGCCTATGCACCGATATTGAAAAGGGAAATGTTTCTCTTGAAGTTTTCGCAATATGTACGATTTCTAATGGAGCAAATGTCATCTGTTGGAATTTGCCGACTTTAAAATATTCCATACTTATGCTTTAATATTTTTATATGTGAACTTTACAGGAAATTCCAATCGATAGTAAAAATGGTTTGTATCTTTGGTAGTGTTTATTCAAAAATGCCGATTGTGAACCTTATGTTTTCAAATCAATCCAATTAAAACGGTATACACACTATCACTTTGAATGACACTCTTTTGTCCCCTTTTCCACAGGCAAATTTTTATTTGGAAATTCTGAGTTTGTAGGCGAGAGGGGTTCGAGGATGAGAAACAAAACATTGCTCTTTTCGTTGAAAACAATTTTGTTGACATTTCCTTTTTAACCTATTCGTTTTACTGACACACAGCCGGCTGTTGTTTACAATTGTTTTAATTTGTGCAAGTGAAATTTAATTTTTAATTTATATAATAAAATATGTAAAAAAAAATAAAATATTAAAAAATTCTTTAAAATTAAAAAATAAATTTGACGTTTCTTTCTTTCTTTTGTATTTTGATTCGCAAATTTGGAAAAGAAAAATTAGCTAGTTGAAAAGCAAGCGAAAATTTCAAAACAGAAAACAACAAATTTGCCAAATAACAATTTGCATGTGGAAAAGGGGACCTTTCCAATTTTTTCTTGTTTGATAGTGTGCCTCACAGGTTTGTCAATTATCAGGCCACCACAAAAACATTTATGGTTGTTGGACAGTCAATAATCGAAAAAGAGTTGACAGTAAAAAAATGCAAATTAAAGCATTAAGGCCGATTTCAATTAAATTGCAAACTATACTACTCCATTTAACAAGAGTTCTTAATGATATCATAGAAGGTATTATTCTAAAAATAATAATGTATTTGAATGTTTCGTAAGTGGCTAACTACTCAATATTTATTTTGAAAATGAAATATTTTCGAATCCTCAAAATAAAATTTAAAAATCATGAATGAAAATCTATCAAATTTATATTTCTATCGCTTCCATATCGTTCCTATGCCATATATGTGTAACACATATGAAAATTATTTCTTAAAGAAAGATTTGCTTTCTCAGATTTCCCCAGCAGGCAGATTGAGTAAATTGAATACATTTAATATACAATTACATTTAATAAAGAACCATTTCGAATTGTATGCGTTCCCAATTTTCCTGTTGGTTGATTTTTAAAAACTTAATTTGTCATATTCATATTGACACTACACCTTTTTCACATGTTATTCAAAACATACCAAATGTAATTCGAGAATTCCATTTGTTATTCATAACATACAGTTTGCAATTCGAGAATTCCATTTGCAATTCATAACATATCAGTTGTAATTCGAGAATTTCATTTGTAATTCATAGAACACCTCTCGAAATTCGCAGAATTCCATTTGAAATTCGTAAAATTCCATTGGAAATTCATAAAACTCCATTTGAAAATAGTAAAATTCCATTTGAAATTTATAAAATTCCATTCAACTTTCAAATAAATTCAATTGAAATTCGTAATATTTGATTTGAAATTAATATCGTTTCATTTTAAATTGGGAAAATGTTATGGGAAACACCCAAAATATGTGTAACACATTAAGGTGGGTAATAATGTATGTACATATTAAAGTGATATACTTTATAATTGTATATACTTTATATATACTTTATGCTTTTCTGCATCATGAACTTTAATGTATGTATTTAAATTTAATTTATATAGATTATTGACAGACCTTACTGTTGATTTTTATTCATTTTTTTTAAAACCGCATATATATATATATATATATATATATATATATATATTTATGAATTTGTCATGTATGTATATATATGTATATATATGGGTGTGTTAGTTTGTTTTTAATACTATTTTTCACTACATAAAAAAATTCTACCCTACTTATTGTTTAATTTATTTATTTTATTCGAATTTGAAATAAAATGTTAAGAATTTAAAATGAATTTTTACGAATTACAACTGAAATATTATGATTTACAAGTAAAATTTTATGAATTTCAAATTGAATTCATTGAATTATAAATAAAAATATACAAATTACAAATGAAATTCTTAAAAATTCAGATGGAATTTTTTGAATTACATATGAAAAGTGTACACCTTTTTCAAATGTTATTCAAAACATTTCAATTGCAATTCGAGGATTTTATTTGTAATTCGAAAATTCAATTTGCAATTCATAACATTTCAGTTGTAATTCGAGTATTTAATCTGCAATTCACAATAATTCATTTGTAATTTCAAACTTTTCATATGTAATTCAAATAATTCCATCTGAATTTTTAAGAATTTCAATTGTAATTTTTTTTTATTATTAAATCTTTATTTTGTAATGAAAAGCCTAAGGGGCCAATAAATTATTACAATATGCTTCGAATAGTAATTTGTAAATTAACATTTAAATTATTAGAACTTAAAGGTAAATAATATCTAATTAGGAAAAAATACATAACTTCATAAGGGAAGAACTACTCCTATTTGTAAATTTTTATTTGAAATTCGTAGTTTCATTTGAAATTCAATGAATTCAATTTGAAATTCATAAAATTTCACTTGTAAATCATAATCAGCCTTATTCTGGATATTTGCTAGGGATATATCTCGCATGTAAAAAATTTTCGCTTTCACATTCTCGCCTTATTCTGAATGAATAGGGAGATGCAAAAAATGCGAGATGCGGAATCGAGTTTTCGAAAATGGTGGTTGAAAAAAAAGATTCGTGTTGTCATATCGTAAATTAAGTTGCAATGTGTGTGGCCATATTGTAAGTTAAGTTGCAATGTGTGTTGCCCCATTGTAATTTAATTGTGTAACATTTTCAATATATTATTTATTGATTTTTGTTATTAAAAATTGTTACTTTTTATTGTTATTTAAACTATATAGCAATACAAATGTGAAATATCAAGAATCCGCTGTATAAATGCTTTGCAATTAAAAGAAAATAAATTAAAGTTTGAAAATATGGCAACCTACAATATGGCATGTGAAACAGCTGTTCATTGTTTTGATGCAATTTGTTGCAACAACTACAATAGATTACAATTAAAAGAACATTTTTTATGATGGCAAAAACATAACGAATAATAGGAAGAAATCTGCGATTTAATTAATTAATTCACACTTTATTATTTCACTACATAATTGTGTGCCTTTTTATTTAATTCCGATATTTTATTTCCCCAAATTCTTAAAGTGGCCTGTTATGTTATGATTTGCTTTTGAAAAAAAAATTTTTCTTTCATAATTTTTATTTAAGTTCTTCACTGTTAAGCGGCTTTCCATAATTTTGAAAATTTTTTTCTTGAGAGACAGATCCTCACCCAAAATGTCTGTATTTCCTTATTACCTTCATACATTTCTTGGCAATACTTGCTTCAGCATGCATCGTTATCAATAGGATTTCCAATGGCATTTTATTGGTTGTTTTCCAGTTAAAAATTTGCTTACTATCATTTATAATATTCTAAATCGTCATAGAATTAGTAGGGGAGACTGGGGCAACTTCGGCACTTTTTGTTTAGAGCTCTATATCTCAGTACTTATGCAATATATATAAAAACTTTATAGCTGATTATTGTCCTCTGACACTTAATTATAAAAACTAATACCAAAAAGATATAAAAAATTAGTGTTAGTTAAAAATTTTTACAGTTTTGTAAAAAAAGTCAAATTCGCCGAATGTGCCCCAACCCGGGGTAGCTTCGGCATTTGATGGGGCACATTCGGCACCATAGTCATAGCCTGGTAATTATCATCTCTATCAGTCTGGTTGAACTTCAGATCCTCTAAAGGCTCTATTTGGTTTAAATAAGCGACACAATGTTTGAATTTTAGGGCTATATTTTCTAGCGACGGACGTTGACATCTCAAGGTCACACACACTATCAGAAATAGGGTATTTATATCGCATT